ACTCTTGGTGGTGATGGCATTCAGCTGCTGTTGCGGCTCCCGTGGATTGGGGATGGTAGTGGCAGGTAGAGTTCCCGGGGCCCGGGTATTAATTTGGCGAGCTATGTCACCAACCTGGTTCTGTAAATCTTGCAAAATGACCCCTCGGTTCCTCAGGCCTGCCTCCAGTGAGGCTATGTTCTGGTCCACCCTTGTGAAATTCGCCTGGATGGTATTCATGAATGCCGCTAGAATGTTTTTCAGCTCCGTCATCTGATTATCTGGATCCGGAGCTGCTGCTGGCTCGGCATACTGACGCTGAGGGTGATGTTGAGGAACTGGCCCCTGTCTAGCCTGGAAAGGTTGCCTCTGCTGAAAACCACCTGTTGGTGCTGGGAAACCAGGTGGCTTAGTGGTGTTTCTCTTTCAAGCGAAGTTGGGATGCTGGCGCCACCCCTCATTGCATGTATTGTTGTAGGGGTCAAAGCGCCGAGCATTGGCGATGAAGTCCAACTACTCTTGGGGAGTAGAAGACTCCCGCATAGCCTTGCAGTCTTCCACCAGATGATTTGAGCTCTCACACCACTGACATTGAGCTACTGGAGGTGTAGCCAAACCTCTGCCCAGAATAAGACTGTTGGGCTGCTTCAATGTCTGCACTAACTCGGCCACATGCTGCTCGAGCCCGGACCTGGCCTTCATGGCGTGCACACCACGATCCCGGGAATTTCTGCCTCTGGTTCTCTACCCCCAGGAGTGATCTCTGGCAGCCAAGGTACTGATCATCTGGTTCAGTTCGGGTGGAGTCTTAGTAAGAATATCCCCTCCTGGGCATAGAGACTCAATCACCCTCTGGCTATCCGGAGAGAGAGCACTGTAGAAGTTCCCCACGGTGAATGCATCACTGAAGCCATGATGGGGGCACTGCCAGAAATATCCCATGTACCGCTCCCATGCATCACGAAGTGACTCATCTGGCTCCTGGCGAAAGTGAGTGATCTCCCGCTGGATCTCTGTGGTCTTCGATGCTGGATAGTACCTGTGCACGAACTTGTCGTCCAGATCATCCAAAGAAGTGATGGACAATGGGGGCTGGGTCTCCAACCACCTCTTAGCATTCCCCGCCAGAGATGGGGGAAGAGGTGGAGGCGGATTGCGTCATCAGGAACATCGTTTAGCTTGAACCCGTTCGTCAGCTGCAGAAAATAGGAAATATGCACCCTTGCCTCCTCATCCTTCAAGCCATGGAATTGGATAGAGGATGTAATGAGTTGAATCTAGCATGGCTTGATCTCGAAGTTGTTCGCTGGAATGGGCGGGTAGAGAATGACAGGGCGGATATCAGCAATCCGTGGAGTGTAGTAGTACTCAAAGGTGGGACCCGGCGGCGCTGGATGATGATGACCCCCATCTGCCTGGGGTATGTAGTTGTTCCCCAAGATCTGATTCACCGAGGTAACCTGGTGAGGATTCCTCTGGTGTGGATTGTGATCTCCTTCCATCTCGTACTCGTCCTTGAACTCGCTGCTCAAGTGGCCGTCTATGCGCTCCGCCGTCGCCAGTCTAGCTCGCTGTTGTCTCATGAGTTGGCGACAAATGCCTTCAAGCTCCGGATCCAACGACAGTAAACCTCCTGACTGGCTACGGGTCATGCACTCCCTGCATACAATCAAGCAGCAAACCCATGAAGGAACAAGTGGGACAAAGCAAACAATGTGAAAAAGAAAAGCTAAATTAACAGAATTCACGTTTCTTCAACAACCTAGCCGGCCCCAGCAACGGCGCCAAAAACTTGACTCACTCCTACTGTCACTCTAGAAAATGGCCAAGTGCAACCACTTCCTAAAGCGTAGTATAGCTGGTTTGGGTTTTAATGTCAACCCGGGTCCTAGATGTGATGACTACTCAGCGAATTCTTATTATTTAGAGGTGAAACTTTAGTGCAAGTTCAAACAAGCAACCAAGTAAGCAAGCAATTAAACGGTTGTTTTCAAGTCGAGAGAGGTCACCCGGATATGGTCCCCCTAGACTGCAGTTAAGCCGGATTGTAATTTACCAAGTTCAGTTTTATGATAGTTATACTGCGGAAGGTTCTTAAACAGTCTGAAGTCTCGACTAAAGGTCTCCAGACCCTCTCAATCTGAGTCTCCAGCGGGCGACTAACCTCCACCGGAGTAAACAGATTGAGGCCCTAACGAACAAAACCTCCACTACCGAAGTAACTCCGGTACAGAATAGTGAACTGGCTCCTCGACTAAAGTTGCCAATTCACCACCTTCAATTAAGGGTGCTCTATCAACCTAGGCAGATATTCTCTTTCTAGGTCAAAGCAGAAATAACAGGAATTTGATTAGGATTCATGCCATTCAATCATTCAAACCTCAATTGAATATAATCAAATCATAGAATCTGTACTTGGGTTCATACAATCAGACCTAACATACAAATCTAGGGTTCTCCATACCCAGATGAATGAGGAAGTTACTCCATGGAGAGAGAAGCAAAAGCAAATTCAGACGCGGAAACCATACTGTGAAGGATGGGTTTCTGCTCCTGGTCGTCAATCGGCAATTCTCCAAGTGTGAGCCGAGCTCCAATGGTGATGAAGATCAAGCTAGGGCACTTGGGAACTCTAGTTTGTCACTTTCTCTCTCTAGGAATCGCTCTGTCTCTCTAAAACTCGGAACCCCTTCTCCTTTGGCTCAAATCTGCCTAAAAAGGGCGACCATGGGCAAAACACGGTCGAGGGCACGACCGTGCTTTGCTTTTGCCTGCCCGTGCCCTGGCCATGTGTTAAAAACGCGCCCACTTCTTGGGGAAAACACGGTCGTGCCTAAAGTTGGACACTGCCGTGTTTTCAGTCACTCCCGCCCGTGTTTTGGGCCAGCGCAGGAAAATCTTGGATCAAGCCTCGGCAGTAAAAACACGGTCCAGGAACACGGCCGTGCTTTGATATAGTCCAGCCCGTGCTTTGGCCCCAGCTCGACCGAATGACTTCCAAATGCCCCGAAACTCGTGCTTAGCCTTTCCTTCGACGTCTAGGACCTGAAATATGACAAAGTAGCACAACCTGGCGTAAAATAGGCCAAAAATACACGACTACGCCCCGTAAACGGATAAGAACTAGGGGTGTAAACATGTGCAATTACATCGTTATCATTTATTAATCTTCCAGTACATTGGAAGGTTCTTTTGTACATATACGTGCCTTGTTGTTCCATTCGTGCCGCTACCTGTGAGTGACCTATTATTATACCAATTTGCAATTCAAGTAACCAAAGTTAAAACCATTTTCCATTTATAGTGACTAAAAATGGAACGAATGTGCAATTTAAGTGACCAAACATGAAACAATTTAGCAATTCAAGTGACCAAACATGAAACAAATTAGCAATTCAAGTGACCATAGTTGAAATGGATAATACTAGGTTACACATTGTCAATAACTAGACAGATCGTTCGACTACACCAACTACACATTAATAGATTACAACAGCTACAACTACACAGACGACTTATCACTTTCCTATCCAAAACAAAGAAATAGCTCCTAAAATGATGAACGACACCATTTTCCAATCAAGCTTAGATACCTCCTTGTTTTGCCTCTTCTCTAGCTCTTGAATTCGACAATGAAAGTTTAGCAACACATTTCTCATATGCTCATCAAGGGCTGGGTCAAGCCATCTGAAGTAGTTACATGCTCCATTTGTCTACACATCATCGTACAGAACAAATAGAAGGATGGAAAAGGCATCATAATAGTCGAATTGTAACATTAAAAAGGAAACAAAGATGGATGAAACCTTACCCTATATCTGCTGCATCCATAAAACCTTCTTCCTGGATTCGCCTCAGTCCAACTCGTCTTCAGATCTGTTGGCTCTCCAGAGTGACAGAAGGGTGCCGCCATTGGTAGAGGGGAAGGGAGAGGAGGAGGAAAGGAACATATGGATGGGGAGGGGGCGATTCTCGCGCAGATTAAAGAGGAACAAAACAGATGGTTAGGGATTCATTTATGAGGGGGTAGACTTATAAAAGGGTTAGATTCAGGGGGGTCAGGTCTCGGGTTTGGGGTTGGGTCAGAAGGGCTGACATGGCGGGTAAATATGACGTGGCGGGTCGGGTCGTCGTTTTTTAGTGTTAATATATGCTGACTGTGATTTTCATCAATAACGGAGTCTAACGGAGGTTAACGGAGAGCAGGGGCAGACCCAGGGGGTTTTAGGGGTGTCCTCGGACACCCCTAAATTTCGGAAAAATGATTATCCAACCCCCGGTGGTAATTTACGTATAGACAAAAAAATATAATTGATAGTGGGGGACACCCCTGAAATTTGAAAAAATGATTATCCTACTGTCATTTGTGTATAAAAATATAAATGGTAGGTTGGGTAATTCAAATCTAGAACACTATTATTATTAATAAATTTAATTTCCGTTGAGCTACAACTCATTTGTTGTTCGATTTTGAACAATGTGTAATAGTAAAAAGTCATTCCCTATCTCTAATTATTTCAATCTAAACTAATTTCAATCTACCCTTAATTTGTATTGATTTTATGATTGTACGGCAAGTGTTGAAGAGTCTTTCAGATTGGGTTATATCAAGAACAAGTTTACAAATCGAATATGCTCCTGAATGATTGTCTAGTAGGGTATATAGAGAATTTTTTTTTAACACTATAAACACCAAATGTATTCTACAATTATTTTCAAATATGAAAACACATCATGGACTTTTTTAACCTGTACGAGTAAGATATTTTCACATTTACGATTTTATTTTTATTATTATTTAATTAATTTTTTAAAAGAGGACATTCCTATGGAAAATTTCTGGGTCCGCCACTGACGGAGAGTGACTAAACTTGGACTGTTCAACTAATTTGAGTGACTATAAATGAAATAAATTAATTTAAATGATTAACGTGAAAATTTATAGCAATTCGAGTGACAAACATGCAGCGGACATAAAATCGAAACAAGCGTTGCAAATTGCAATGAAAGAAAAATAAAAAGGAAATAAAAAAGATGTTCTTGAGATGGGAAAAACGAAGAGTTGAGAAAAGCTTACACCAAACCCCTAACACGCGCAGAGAGGGACGATTGATTATGCTGCCCGCAGCAGCTAATAAACCCTTCTCCCATTTCAAACACTTCCTCCATCCTCCATCTTTAGCCTTCTACGCCACCGTCATTTCTTCCATGGATTCTCCACCCAGATTCCTCCAACCCACACTCTCGAGCTCCGCAGCTCGCTCCCCTCCGAGATTATCCGACATTGGTGACGGGTCGATAACGTTGCAGGAGTGGCAACGATGGGGCCCCGTGTCTCCGATACCTTCCAAGGTTTTGGAGGTTATCGACGAGTTGAAGCTTCTGGAGAAAAATGTTGATACCCAGATGAGCTTTGGCGGTTCTGGGGGAAAACTTAAGGTAATTTCTAGTCAGAACAAGACACTCTGCTTTGTTAGTATGTGGGAAGTTAGAGCAACGATGATGGGGAATATGAAACTGATTTTTCTCCTCAGGTAGCAATTGTATAGGGCAATTTAATTTCTCTTCAAAACTAAATATGCCCCACTGTGAAATTGCCAGGGCGACTTTAGAACCCACGAGGAGAAGAAGCACAGAGCAACGTATTTAGCTTTAGATGACCCTGAAAGCAAGATCCATTTCTATGCAGCTCGTCAAATTGCTTGCCGTTTGCTTGGAAGTAGAGGTTATCTTTGCCAGAAGGTGCTTATTTTCGGGGTTTAAATTGATTAATGTGTTTCTTCCTGCTGCTCATGTACTGAATCTTTAAAGGGTAGGCGTGTCTTCTTTGTTTCTGTGGCTTTTGGCCGAAAAGACTTGGCTCCCATCTTTTTTGAGCTAGTATTTTCCCAGTTTTTGGCGACTTTGGCTTTTGCACTGCATAATCTTGGTTCTTCGTAATAGGAATTCAATTGGTTTGCAGTGCTGGCTTCCCTTGGAAGAAGATTGCATGTGTTCACTACTGAAGCCATGTACATTGTGGCCTGGGATACGATTCTGGATATATATGCATCCAAAGGTTTGAAATTGTTTCGTTCTAGTTTCTGGATATGCTTTGCTGTTGTTGATAGGAAGCTTTGATCACAGGACCAACTTCGTGCAGGACTTCTTACGACAGAACAACACTGGGAAGCTGTTGTGGCAAATTTTTGGACCTCATTCAGCCACTTTATGTATTTTTGGCATATCTGAACACGAGGAGATTATGTGGAATGCATTTAAATCTGCAGGTTCGTCTCAACTTACTGGCTTTATTATTGGCTCCTATTTGCTAATGATTATTTACTGCAGCCATGCACCCAAGCATAGTTGATAACTTGCTTTTCCTTTGGAGCTAATGTTCAGGTTGTGATGCTTTGAAACAGATGCACACTTGATGCCATAGTCTATATATTTATGATGTCATTTGACTTCTTTTGTTCTCAAAAGACCATATTGGCAAGTTGAGTTTCCGGTTACTGATTCTTTTTCATGATGGTTGTAGGAAAAAGCAAGGTCTGGTGTCTTTACCCTAATAAAAATTCCGTGACAACATCAGTCCAGGAAGCTTTTGGTCAAGAATCTTCAGCAAATCAAGATATCACTCCGAATCTTGTACGTTTTTGTTTTGTTTCCTGCCCTCCTGCGAGAACTTCACCCATAGATTAATAAAGTCCACTCTCATGGCATGGATAGATAATTTCACATTTGTAGGATCTCAACCATTTTGCCTGCATTTTCAATTTTCCTACGTCTATACTGGTTATTGTTAAGCAACTACATAAAATTATTGGAGAGGTTGTTCGTTAGAAAGAAGGATTTTAAAGCAATACGTATTTTTGGGTAAGGACGCAAGTATTTTTTCTCATTCATCCATAACTGTACTATGGAGTTTGGAGAGATGTGCAATCTTAGGGAAAATTAGAAGACCTGGACTTTTCCTCAACTATTTCAACCGTTTAGTGAAGAACAGCTTGAAGTTCTGAGTTCTATAATTGTTTTTGCTGTTGCTGCTTATGATAGTATCTTACTAGTTTCGAACCATAGACCAAGGAATAAGTAGACTGCATCCTGCAGTCCAAGTAAGAAACCAGTGAGTTCTAGATTTGATCATGGCCGCATTGCATTGTTTCTTGATTAAGATATATGTTACCTTCTACCCAAAAAGAAAAATAAATCTGGTACCTTCACTTTCAATGGGCATCAATATCCATGCTAATTGTGGTGCTGGGCAGACAAATGCAGATGAAGCTTTGAACTTTCTGTTGATTGATGGCACTTGGAGCAACTCTGCTGCAATGTTCAGGCGGTTGAAGGTAAATCACTCGTTTATGTTGTCTCCCATACACAGAGTCAGCATCAGCATTTGACGGCTTGGTTTTTCGTTTGCATAAGATTTGTGTCGACATCATCAAATATAAATCTCTTCTACATACAGGAACAGTCGCAGTCTGTGTGGGGGGAGGATCTTCCTTGCATATCCTTGGCTACTGGAGTATCCACGATGCACAAACTCCGGTAAGATGCAAGCCAGGCCAACTTACTGTAATTTATTTTGTTATTGGAGCCATAGCCATTTTACATACGATATTGATTGGGGTTCCCTATCACAGGCCACAGCCATCGTGGGACCGTACTTGTACAGCAGCAGCAGCAGCAGGGCTGCTGTTTGAGCTTCAAGAACTAATAGGGTTCAGCTGCTTTGGCCTGGAGAAGCAGGGTGAAGCGTTGGAGGATGCTGTCTCTCTTCTTTTGGATGCTCTAACCACTCGCCGTCTTAGGATGGGTCGGTCTATAACCCGGAAAACGAGACATGCAATAACTAATTGAGAATCATCATGTATCATAAGAGGGAAAGCTGTTTGGAAATTTTTCATACTTTGAATATATTTGCCTTCCTGCATGGTTAGCAAATGCTTTTCTTTTCAGCAAATTTGCTGAGATTTCATTTGAGTGACTATTTGCATTGAAAATTGCGGCGAAACTGCTCGTCATTCTTCTCTTTTGAGAGATGACTGATCATGTTGATCTTGAAATTTTATTAATGTCGTTGATGAAATTTAATTACAAGAGTACGCTTATAAGAAAGATTTCAAGCAAGAGCTGTTGAGCTTATCAAACGACATGATCAGGTTCATCGGGTCCAGATCGGGTCAGTAACTGATGAGTCAGTAACCCATCAGTAACCCCTTCTATGGTCCCCACGTGTCATACACTTTTTTATTTAAATTAAATGTGAAAAGGGCAGTACAGTAAAATGACACTTTCTCCTATTTATTGCTGAGGCTGACTTTTGACCGGATCACATCAGCGCCTTCTCTCTTTTTGCAAAACATTTAATTTTCCTTCTCTTAATTTTTAACCGACGATTTCTCACTCGTTTTAAGTCGAAATTTAATTTTTTTTGCACAGTTAGATCAGATTAATTGTGCTCTTCAAAATGATATCCACTTTGATATTTTTTGGACATAAAAAAAATTGTCAGTTATTACCAGTCTATATCATATGGTATTGACTGGTATTGACCATACCATATGGTATGAAAAGAATTTAACACATCAAAATATATATTACGTTACCACCCAATACCATATGGTATAGTGTGGTAATATCAATATATATTTCGTTACCACCCAATACCATATGGTATAATATGGTAATATCAATATATATTACGTTACCACCCAATACCATATGGTATAGTGTGGTAATATCAATATATATTTCGTTACCACCCAATACCATATGGTATAATGTAGTAATATCAATATATATTTCGTTACCACCCAATACCATATGGTATAGTGTGGTAATATCACACAATACCATACAATATCATATGGTATAGTGTGGTAATATCAATATATAATTCGTTACCACATAATACCATACATTACCATATGGTATAGTGTGGTAATATCAATATATAGTTCGTTACCACACAATACCATACATTACCATATGGTATAGTGTGGTAATATCAATATATATTTCGTTACCACCGAATACCATATGATATTGAGTTATAATATCAATATATATTATCTAAAAAAAAAAAAACAGAAGGAGGTAGAGAAAAAAGATCGTCTTGTGTCGCCTCTCATTTCCTCTTCCGCAATCAAGAACACCAAAATGCCAAAAAAATGAGAAAGATCGAAATTGAGGCCAATGAGATGATGAAGAGAAGAAATGCAATGAAAAAGAGTGGCTTCAATTTTTATTCGTCATGAAAAAAAATAAAGAAGAAGAGAAGGGAGCAGATTTAGATCTAGAAATGAGATTGAGAGAGAAAAAGGAAGAGAGAAAGAGAGAGGATCTGGAAAAGAGATTGGGAGAGAAAAAGGAAGAGAGAAGGAAGATAGAAAGTTGCAGAGAAGTGATTTCTCTTTCCTTCCTTAAAAGTGCAGCCATTAAATACGAAATAAAATAAAATAAAGAATTTAATATATAAACGGACAAAAATACCCTTCTCCACTCAGCATCCGGCCCAACCACACGATTGCCTACCTCTTAGATCTATGATCCCTATTCATTACTGACATGTCGTGGTTACTGACCCTATCTGCTGCCAGGTTCACCTACCTATATGTCACCCTCAATTCAATATGCTGGAAACAAGATCCAGATTAATTGGTTTGTATTGGTTGGAACTCTTGAAATACGATCTCTTCGATCCATACAAAGAAGCACGAGTTTACGAACTCTTTTCTAGGATTAGTAATTATCACACAATCTAAAGGGTAACTTGACATGAATATCGTTTGGGGTGTAGAATTTTATGATCATGAAAATAACGACAGCAAAAAAAAAGAAAAAAGAAGTCAAGGTGTTAAATTATTACAAAAATCGGTTCTCATTTGAATGGGTCTTCTCAACCCATAATTAGCAATGCTCTCCCGTTATAAAAGCAATCATATAACAACAACAACCCCCTTTTGAAGGAGAAGACAGACAGAAAGAAAAACCAAGAAAAGAAGAGAAAGAAGAATCCCATAAGCAAGCAATTGAGGAACATTGCATTAAGAAATTAAGAATGATGGGTGGAAACACTGCATTGCTCTGTGCTGCGGCTGCTTGCTTTATCCTCCTGCAGCTGCAACCTGTCAGCTCCCATTTCATCTCCTGTAATGAATTCATTCAACACACACTCTTCTCCTAATTAATCATTTCCCATCTTCATCATTATTGTTATTATCTAACCTCCTCTCATTTCCTCTCCACAGCCGACGCTCTTGAAGCCAACAACAGAACAGACCACCCAGGCCGCAGCACGCTCCAACAAGACCAGAAAGACGTCAACCCGATCGAGGCGATCGTGAACAAAGCTCGTAAGCAACAAGATCGATCCCATTTTCGGTGGTTCGATTAAAGATCGATCCCATTTTTTTGTTTTTTCACGATTCATCATAAAACTATCTTTCTTTCTTTCTTTGTGTTGAAAGCCTGCAACAAGGTGAACTTCGACGCGATCAGCTACAAGCCGCTGAGGGACGAGTGCAAGCCGCCGTACCCAGTAGGGCAGTGCTGCGACGCCCTGAAGAAGCAGGCGTGCCCGTACACCGACGCCATCAACGACGACAAGACGGTGTGCGCTCTGGATCTGTTCTGGAACATCAACAAGTGGTACCCGGCGGGATGGTTCCTCCATCACTGCAAAGAAGGCCCCCATGGCATCCGCTGCGGACCCGATGATTACAAGCACAAAACCTCCGCTGCTGCCCCTTCCCCCAAATCCGACGACGCAGCTACTGGATCCGATAAAAAGGGATCTGATCACAAAAACTAGAGAAACTATGATGAGCACCATTTGGCCAATTTTTGTTTTTTTTTTTTGTTCTCCATTCTCGCCAACTTTACAAAATTTGTGTAATTTCTCACAGAGCTATATTCCTTCGCATATAATAACTGATTAATTTTTGTGTCATTCTCCATGACTATCTATTGATTAATATTAATAAGGTCTCAATGGTAGTTCTTTCCGGGGAAGAAGTAATCTCTGTGGTTACTAAGAGTGAATTGGGTGTGAAAAAATAAATTATATTAATTAATTAAGTTTAATAAATTACATTTAGATAGTTACAAAAATCTATTAGTTACAATTTTTTCTCTTTCTCTCACTTCCGTAATCCCTAACTAGATCTCCTTTACATATTTTTTCAATCTTTCTGTAAAAGAAAAAACACGAAATCACTATCAATCCATTAGACAACCACTACTATTTTGAAAAACATCAACACCATTGCAGAAATAAATCTATACCATTACACGAAAACTATCAATATAAACAACCTATACCATTACAAAAGTCAAACAAATACCAAAACAACCAATACCACTACTACTGTGAAATCAAAACTATATCATTGCATAAATAAATCAATACAAACACTACCAAAAAAAAAACACAGGTAACTACCAAAGGATAATGCAAACACTACCAAACCAAATGCATATAACTACCATAGCATAATGTTCCATCTAACCAACACAAATCCAGGTAACTACCAAAGCGTAATGCACACACTACCAAAGAAAATGCAGGTAACCACCAAAGCATAATGCAAACACTACCAAAATAAAATGCAAGGTAGCTACCAAAGCAAATCCTCTACCAATGCAAACACTACCATTCTAGATTACCTGCAGAAGCAAAGCTGTGATCAACGTCGATTGCGGTGGGAAACGAACGCGAACGCCGGAGGATCTAAAATCAATGTCGCCGGTATGGAGAGGGAGGGATCTGAATAAATGAATTGGGGAGGAAGGAGGAGGGACTAAGGAGATGAGAATAAGAGGGATGAGGGAGGATGAGAGATTCGAGTACGACGGCGGAAGGGTGGCCGGCTGTAGGGGGTGTCATTTTCCCACTCCCTTTAGGGGTAGTCATTGCACTGGTAGAACGGAATGGGTTAGGGTGATTACTTGTTTTCTAGTAATCACGGTGACAACCTCTTTATATACCATTAGATTTCATATTTTCCCTTCTTTTTTAATCTTACAGTCAAGATTCTTTTAGGATAATTTTGGAAACGAACAAGTGACTACACCCGATTATTCTATATAATCTACCCAAACCCTAGTTCTACCCTCCCTCCAGCCAAACCCGCAGCAGCCGCCTCCACCACTCCGTCGCACTAATCCCGCCGGCCGCCTCGAATCTCGAATAGTAAACACTATTGAATAGTAGAAACATTATTCCTTATCCCCAACTATTTCAAAACCTAACAACTAAACTAATTACGGGCTATCCTTAATTTGAATTAATTTTATTGTAACACGGCTAGAGTTAAAAGAGTCTTTTTTTTTTGGTAATCGTTAAAAGAGTCTTTCAACTTTGAGTTACATAAAGAACAAAGTTAAAATTCGAATATGCGATCAGTTCGTGAATTTTTGCTAGTATGATATATAGATTTGTTGAGCAGTGAAGACGTCGAGTATATTTTATATTCTTTTTCAGAATATGAAAACACGTTGTGGCCTTTTGTTAAAATTTGTACTAGTCATGTATTTTCTTATTTTTTAATTATTTAATTTAATTATTTTTTTAAAGAGGACACTCCTATAAAAAATTTCTGGATCCGCCACTGTCGGTGACGAGCAGCCCTACACTCCACTGTACTCTACAATTAATCAGAACGTAAACTCTGGACTTAATTTATATGTTTTTTGATAACTAATTTAATTTATATGTTGAGACCATGCAAAAGATGAATTTTAGAGTATATGAGTAATTATGAGAGATGAAATGTCCATTTTATAGTTTTTTTTTTTTATCTTTACTGTTTTGTGTAGAGAATAAAATAGGATTATTCATATTCCAACTAAGGACAACGGGATAGGGCCCAATCTCTAGTTTGAGAAGAGAAGCTGCCTATTACAATTATTAATTTGTTGAGAAATGATATGTTATTAGCCATCGAGGTATAGTAATTAATGGAAACACATCAAAGGTAAGATAGGCTAACGGTAAAACTGTCGCGACAGTGAAGGGTTGGGAGTTGCAGATCCCAGGTTCGAATTCAAGCGAGGCCCGTTGGTGTTCCCGGAAGTACAAGGTTGCTGGGGGCGAAGCCCCGCTGGCGTCGAATTTGATTGCAAATGACCCCCACGTTTAGTAAGACCCGCTGTCACAAGTAGCACGTGGTGCTGAGGTTGTTGAGTAATAAAAAAAATTAAATGGAAACACGGAATTGTAAAAATGACAAAGGCAAACGGATAACAATTTTATAATATGTTTGTTGCTTAAAATAGCTACATGTTGCTACTCATTGTCAATTCCCCAATTGAAAATCATCATCTGGAGAATAGGAAAAATGAAGAGCTCATAGATAGTTTGATTTAAAAAATGCTAAAATGATGATGTATTAATTTTATTTATTAATTAATGTAACAATATTGATTTCAATATATTTATTGAAAATTTTTTTGGCCACAATTGGTTCGTGGAACAGAGCTTCCTCTATTCCAGGGCCGACCCCGGTTGGGAAATTCTTTTGGCTCAAGGGTTTCAGGTTCCATCGACTGATGATCCTCTGGTGGTGGAATCTCTTGCCCTCAGGGAAGCTATCTTATGGTGTGTATACTATGGCTTTTAGGATGTCAAGTTTGAAGGCGACGCCAAGGTCATTATTGACAAGATCAATCGGGTGGAGACCAGGGATAGCAGGATTGGTGTTATTCAGGAAGAGATTGTGCAGTGTTTGGAGACTCACTCGGGGTTTAGTCTTCGATTTGTAGGTCGGAATAGCAATAGGGTAGCCCATGCGGTGGCTAAAAGGCCCTTACTTTGTACTCGGCTACGTGTCGATCTTTTAATTTTCAGGCCTGCCTACGATCCAGGATGTAACTATCTTTGTTGAATCAATATATAATTATCTTTTGTAAAAAAAAATTAATTTTTCAATAGAAGGAGGACTTGAACCTCCAACCTTGTTGTTAACCGCTACAAGCTCTAACCAACTAAGTTATTGGTTCATACATTTTAAAGGGTACATTTTACTCAATTATATATATATATGGTGGCATATATATTACTCCTAGAATATATTATATTTCGTGTACTTATAATGGGATATCTCTATTTAGACCATGAACAAAATGGATTTGGGATATGATACCACACACTAACCTCTAATGGATAAATTCATACCCCAATTTTCAAACATCAAACCATACAATTTAATAAAAAATAACAATCAACAGTTATGATTCGCTGATGTACAATGAAATACATCCAACAACCATATCATTTGGATTATGGTATACTCCTTGAGTACAACAGTCATTACTGTGTGTGTGTATGCATGACTGTTATACTCCTGGAGTATATGATACTCCGGTTACTCATAGTGAGATATCTATATATAAATCATGAATTAAACTGAATTTAAGTTAATTATGATTTTATACTCTACCTTCTAATGGATAAACCCTAGACCTCATTTCTCTAAACCTAAAGATTAATTTAATAAAAATAATAATCGACGATTATGATTCGCCGAAGTGCAATGAAGCTACATCTAAGATAATTTAGAGTACGGTTAGGAGTACGCCAAACATTACCACACACGCGCATATATATTCCAAGTTATTCAATGATAAATATAAGAGGGGCACACATTCTTAGTTAGAAAATGCTAGTAGATCTTTAATTAATCAAGTCTCGGAGCATAATACTATGCCATAGATCATAATGAATTAAACCTACTAGTCCTAGTTCTTTAAATTCTACACCCTAAAATAAATTTAATTCGAAACAATTATCGATGATTCTGATTCCTCAAAAGAAATTAAACTACTAGATACACCACCTCAGAGTTTAGAGGTTTGAGAATTAGGACTTAGGGTTTAATCATTAAAGGTTAGGATATAGTGTGATGTCTCAAAAATAGGGCAATTCAATGACTAAATAATGTTTTCTTACTAAGGGTATGCAATACTCTTAGATTTCCTCTAGGTATGATTTCTAACATCTTTATTACTCAAAACTTTTGTCAATATATACTACTAGATCATGAGAAGCAACATTAGCATTAACAATTTCAAAGTGATCAACATTAGCAACAACATATTTATATTGGTGAATTAGGTTAGTTAATGGTGAAGGCAAAAGTGAATCCATCATATTCATCAGTCTATTTAGTTCTCAAATTTATATCGGTTTTAGCTTAGGCAAGTGTTCAAAGCATTGTTATTAAAGCCGAACCGAGCTGGTCGGTTTGACCGTTAATCAATCATCAACTCGATTGGATTGAACAATCTCCATACATGTTAAGTGTCGGATGACCAGATACGTTATGTTAAGAATTTAAATTTTAAACTTATTTTAAATTTTGATTGATTTATGGTTTAGTATGCTATTATATATATTCTGTTTATAATATTCTTATTCATAAGTTATTGCTTTGATAATGGGTTTTTCACGGTATAATACCGGTTAAACCAATAAAATGTGAACCACACACTACACCGGTTCATACTCCGATTTGGTTCTAATAACATTGGTTCAAAGAGCTTGTTCAGTTTTGGACTACATCAAGAACGAGTTCCGGAATTGAATAGGCAAATCGTTAATTAATAAATTTTAGTGGGAGATATTGAAAGACATCTGTTGAGCATTATAGACACAAAGTGTAATTTGCAGTTTTTTTTTTCAGAATATGAAAACACATCATTGTGTTTTGTTTGTTTGTAATAGTCGAATATTTTCTAATTCAAGGAAAAAATTATATATATATATATATATATATATATATTTAGAAGAGAACCCCACTAAGTAAAATTTCTCGATCCGTGATTCCATAATTCAGTAGAGCGGCAGGAATTAAAAAAAAAAAAGTTAAAGCACTATAGGAGAAAGAAGGAATATTAAGGAGGATTTTGAATTGAATGAGTCTCCCCATTACTAAATTTATCCTTAAACGGGGTAACACCTAAATAGAAGGAAAGCTGAAAAAATAAGTTGTGGTAAATACCAAGATTAGCCTATCCAATGTGAAGGCAGATAACTTATTTCCCAAAAATAGAACAAACTCCCAAAATAGAGATTGCAAAGGGGGACTATAAAGACTCCCCAGAGATGAACAAGAAAGCTCGGGGTGCTTTGCTCGATCGATCTCCACTCTCCAGCACGGGATTTGGAGATCGATTTCATTCATTCATTCATTCAATCAAAATCTAATATATAATCCCCACCAATAACACCTTACATAAACAGGAGTAGTGAATAAAAACACAGGAAACCAAACAAAAAACAATGGCTTCCTACAAGGCCTTTGTTTGGGTGCTTTGCTTCATCTTCTTCGTGGAACTTGTCAGCTCCCACTTCATCTCCCGTAAGATAGATCCTCTCTATCTAATGTATCAAAAATATTCTCGTTTTCTGCATAGAATTCTGTGAAAAGCCGTATTCGACCAAAGTCGTACATATTAATGTATAATATATATTAGGGTGTGGTATTGTATCCTGACGTTTTGAATTTTCCCCACCCTCTCAGCCGAAGCTATGAAAGTGAATAACATCACCGAGCCACACAGCCGCAGCATGCTCCAGAGGCGCAGGTACGGCCACCACAAGCACTGGCACCACGCCGCCGCCGTAGTGTCAGGCTGCAAGGTGAACTTCGACGCAGTAAACTACATGCCCCTGCGCAGGCGTTGCAGGGCTCCGTACCGACCGGGAACCTGCTGCCCGGCTTTCATGAGAGTGGCATGCCGCTTTACCGATGAAATCAACGACCAGACATCAAATTGTGCCGGTGAGATGTTTGGCCACATCAACAGGTTCTACCCCAAAGGCTGGTTCTACCAGAACTGCGGAGAAGGACCCTTAGGCCTCAACTGCCTGCAGATTTAGATCAGCTCCCACCCTTCCTTGTTTCCCGTGTTCAAATTCTATATGCACTACTCCTGTTATAATTAAATATATTTCACATTATTATTAATAATAATAATATAATTATTCTTAAAATTGTGGGAGTTATTCAACTTTTTCATTTCCAATTGAATTGGGAAAAATTCTCATTTCATTTATCCACGTGAATGGATTTATTTCATGCAAATTTGGATTTGCCATTCCATTAAATGTTTGCCCGCGTGATGCATGGTTTGATGAAAGAATGCAACTTTTCATGAAATGATATAGTGCCTAGATCCGGATGAGTACAACGTTTGGAGTTGGCAATTATAGACATCAAACGGTTTCATGAGGCAATACAATTCTTCGTTTGTTGTCTCTACAAATAGGGACAACCGATGTTGTGCAAGGGATACATGAAAAGCACCATTCTTGTTCTTCCTTCTAATAAAACTTCTAAGTATACTTTATGGTTCTTAAGTCTAGAACCTAAAGTGGCGATAGTTTTATCCTACGAAGAAATTTCAAGAAACCCAAGGCTTTGTAAAGGGTGGAAATATTCTTTACGAAAAGTGCAAGTTGTTCACGACTCTATCATAATCCAAGTCACCCGTTTTCGGGCTATCCTACGTGTACCCTAGTCCCTAAATTCCCAACAGCCGTAAAGAATAATTTCCGGCATGATGGCTCGAACCACTCTTTACAAGTAACCGGTTTCGGTCTGTGGAAAATTTGAGAATTTTCGATGATGTGTATTTCATCGATGGTAGTAGAAGATGTGTTTTCTTCGTACTATTCTCATGGTGTATTCCATATCCAGAAGGTAACTTGGAAGAGGGACCATTCGAAGATGAGGAAGAAGTAGAATGCTTCATAAATGGAGAAATAGAAGAATGACAATTGTCTTTCTGTAGGTCACATACACAATGGTTAATTTGTCTGATTCTCTATTCGACACTTGCAAAGTTCTAAACAAATTTTGATTTGTCTAAGTAGTTTTATGGTGTGATTTTGACAAGTGGTTTATGTTATGTTAAACCAAAGAGACAAAATGCAGATACAGTGTTTGACGATTCTCGTAATAGAGTCGTCATATGTGTGTATGTAACTTATCTTTGGGACCAATCAAAGATAAGAAGAGTAGCATGACAACATGATGTTTTTTTTGGAGCAACAGACGCGCAATGGAACACTGCGGCGACGCCCGCCGCCCCTGCTCCTGCGGCGCCTGCTCCTCCTCCACCGCCGCCGATTCCTCTTCATCGTCGTCGACGATCAAGAGGTTCGGAAGCGTCAGCCTCATATCGAATTTTCTGTTCGAGAGCAGCAGCAGCAACACCGCCGAGCCTTCCTTGCGGCGGTCGAGATCCTTGGCGGTGGCGATTACTTTCCTCCGATCGCCAACCAATCATCATCCTCCTCCTGCTGCCGCTGCTTCCGTCAAGGCGGCTCCCACTCCGTCGTTCTGGTCAATTCTGAAAGGCGGCGGCGCGTCGGCGAAGAAGAAGGACGGCGTGGCGGCGGGGGAGGAGGAGGAGGAAATCGATGTCGGTGGCGGTGACGTCAGCGGACGCAGAGAGGTCGTCGTGGAAAGGAAGCGGCGTTGGGAGGGGGTGGCATTTCCCGAGTCCGATGAAGGTGTTCCGGCAATCGAAAATCTCCGCCAGAGGCGGCGGCGGCGGCTTGATGCAGGGGAGTGAAAGGTCTCCGTTGGACCGCGGTTGATTATTATTATTGATTAATTAACTTAATTAATTACTCTTTGGTGGGCCGGTTACAATTCCAGAGCGTCGGTTACAAATCCAGAGGCGATTTCAATTGCGATCCGTTTCAGATACGCTTATTCTTTCTCTTTCCTCCCTAATTTTAATATTTATTTATTTCCAGAATTATAATTAAATAATTTTTTCCTTTCCTTAACTGCTCGTATTTATAATCTTTTCATTAACTTTACTGTAAAAAAAAAAGGAAGAAGTAAGTAATAAAAAAATGTTTTTCGTTTGTCCTTGTTAGCTTCTAATTCAGAGTATCTGACTAAGCCTCCAGGGCTTGTTTAAGTCCATTCGGTGGAGCTTAGTTGTCCTCCTCTATGGGCGCTTGTGTGTTTGTTTGTTTTTGTAGGGGGCACGTAGTTTTCCCTTGACCATACAAGTATCCATCCTTTATGATTCAGTCTCGTGTTGTGGCGCATGCGACAAGTGGAGCGATCTTGGAAGAGATTTGTTTGGCATCTGTGTCTTTTAATTTCTTTATTTGTACTTTTACGCAGAGGTTGTACAACAGGGCTGCCCACTTAGTGGCTTCTGGTGCCCTTTCATCGACAGCTCGATATTATGTCGACTGTCGCGTCTGGTTTTCTAGAGTCCTGTAATATCTATTTCATTCCCGATCTATGACAAAAAAAAAAAATCAAAGATAAGAAGAGTTTAAGGAAAAGCTTTTGCCATATAAAATTTCCCATGTGGGACACAGGGAAAAATGTGATTGTGTATTAACTCAATCGGAACAACAAAGAAGATTCCTTCTCTCAATGCAGAAAAAATTTCATAAAAGGAATTGTCGTGAGTTAAGGACCCTAATGGATGCAAGTATGGAACTTATGGTAATGCAAGAAACCAGTTTACAATTGGAGTATTCCATGTTAAATTGGGCTTGATGAATGCAATGACTTGCATAAGACCATATATAGCATATGAAGCATGACAACAAAGTTGGTGTAGGAGTAATTCTAGTACTAATTTTTTGGAAATGAAATGTGGCGTGTACGAGAAATCTCAAAGTTACATTGTATTGACTTATAGTGGCTTTCCATCCATTTTGGAAAGATTTATTGATGTTAGTTGGATTTCTCATGTTTAAGGTGATACTTCAACATCGAGATGGGTCTCTTGCTTGGGGGAGTGGCCATATCTTGGGCCTCTAAAAAGAAAACTTGCATCACTAAGTTTCACTATGGAGTCAAAGTTTTTGGCCTTGATTTCTCTTAGAGAAAAGACATTATTGTTGAGATGCTTGGTTTATGACATTAATTTATGGCTAAAGCCAGTCTCGCCTATTGATATTCTTAGTGATAGTAATGCCACTTTGGCTAAGACATATAGCCAAGTGAAATGACAAGTACGGTCATGTGGGAGTTATGCACTGTGAATTGATAAGTCATGGAGTTGTGTCAATGTAATGTGAACGGATTTGAGATAATTTAGTTGATCATTTGACGAAATTATTAACTAGAGACTTGGTGGTCAAGTCTGTGAAAGGGATGGGTTTAAAGTCCATGTAATTTCTAATCATGGGACACCCAATTCCCCTCTAATACAACGTTAGAGGCTAAATTCAATGTGGAAAGCTTATTATCAGAAATTGAAGCACACAATTTGTCATCCCGATGTATGTGCTTGTTATACTGCATGAGAGAAGAGGATGAAGTTTAATACTTCTGAATTGAATATTTGAAAAAGTGTGTTATGTGGGTACGCGAATAAGAGATTCAACCTACGCAAGCATGTAGTGTAGCCGCTTCAAGAAACCCGGACTTTGGTTTCGCGTGCGCTTATGAGAAGGATTGGACACATTGCGGGTAATAGTGTTGAGGCACTTAGAAGTTTGTGAAACTTAAGTGTATATTATCTTCGAATATTCATATGAGTAGATGGGTGCAATCGTTATCTACACCTAAATATTAAGATATTCGTCAAGTGTAATATACTAAGATGAAAATTCAATTGTAACGACATTTTCATCTGTGCTTAAATTTTGTTTGAAAGGTGTTATAATTTTAGTGTATTCTCTGAATACACTAACAAGGGGTAGGAATGTTTAAAATTTGGTCAAACCGGTTTGAAGTTGGACGAAATTGGTTAAAATATTGGGATAGGTCGAATTGGGAAACCTCCCATTTCATTTCTCCACGTGAATGGATTTATTTCATGCAAATTTGGATTTTTCATTCCATTAAATGTTTGCCCGCGTAATGCATGGTTTTATGAAAGAATGCAACTTTTCATGAAATGATATGGTGCCTGGATCCGGACGATGATAATGTTTTGGAATTGGCAGTTATAGCCATCAAACGTTCTCATAAATAGGGGCAACCGATGTTGTGAAAGGGACACACCAAAACCATTATTGTTATTCCTTCTAATAAACTTCTAAGTATACTTTAGGATTCTTAAGTCTAGAACCTAAAGTGGTGTTAGTTTTATCATACGAAGAAATTTTTTATAACTCAAACCTTTGTAAAGGGTGAAAATATTCTTTACGGAAAGTGAACGTTGTTCACGACTTCATTATAATCCAAGTCACCCAGTATCGGAATATCGTACGTGTACCCTCGTCCCTAATGTCCCAACACCCTCTCTAAAGGGTGTATCAATCTCCCTACTATCACAATATACTTCTCTATTAACCGATGAATCGTTTACAAAATCAGAAAGAGATCTTGATATATGTTTGATGATGAGTAACAATGATTTTGACTATGAAGGTCGCCAAGTTTTTTTGTTGGTCGTGTTTTAACTATTATTGGTCGTGTTTTAACTATGAAGGTCGCCAATTTTTTTTGGTCGTGTCCCGGATACCTCATGCAAGCCGATGTGCAAAGATTGAGCACGCCCGGCTTGGAGAGGAAACGAGAAAACATCTTGGAAGGCACGGGTTTAGTGAAGAGGTCATCCAGTTGGTGAATTGTATAGACATGGAGGAGCTTGATCTCAATGTGTTTTGTGAGCTCGTGGAATTTTGGGTTCTTGGAAATTTATTTGGTCGGCACAGAAGAGGATGGCAAGTTTGGGATGTTTGATGTTAAAATCTTTGAGCATATAGAGGATCAACTGGACTTCACAAGTTGTGTAAGCTAATGTTCGATACTCTGCTTCACAGGAGGATATGAAGATGGTCGGCTGCTTTTTTGCTCTTTGACTCACTAAAACTAACACTCAAATCAAAGACAAAGTGAAACCAATGCTCTGGAAGCAGTATATTGGTCAAGTAATAATTTATCGAATCCTCGAGTTCTCAAATTTACTATTACTCTAAATAATCTTGTTATGTATCAGTTTAGGTTCAGTTTAAAACCAAGAAATTGACAAAGCAAAAAGTAATTGGTCTAAGTTTGATTGTGAAAAAGTCACTCCGGTAGCGAAGCCCCCTATTCTCTATTCCAATTAATGATTATCAACTCCCTAGCTCATTGAATCAAAGTTCATAATGTGGATAATCATTAATAGGTCGTCAATCTTGATTAAAGAAATCACAACCATCTTGAATAAATTGCTTAAAGGGACATTATTCTTAACTAAGACAAAATACCAAGACAATAGACTCTAGATTCCCACAATTGAATCGAAATACAATACAAAGAAGTGAATCGATTCACTCTCATAAATATATGCAAAATGCATCTGTATAGTCAAAACTTTGACATTAATGCAATAATAGCCATTTTTTGGGAAATACACAAAATGTCAAATTCCGTCCAATACTTTAACTGTGTGAGTTAATGATCTGACTAGACTAACTGAAGGCTGGCGTGGCGACTCTCTTTAGTTAGTAACAATCCAGAATAGTATTTTGATTTGTGAATAATAAAACAAAAAATATAAATAATGAATAAAAAGAAGCAAAGCATATGCGCTGGTCTTTTGATTTGCAGATATCGAAAAGTCAAGAACAACAACCTTCAATTTTGCCCTGCACAAAACCTAACACCAACCGACCCATCAATCCATGGCCTCCATATCGACTGCCGCCCTTCCCTCCTCCTACGCTGCCTCACCGCTGCCAACACTATCGATCTGTGTGAAGAACCACCCCTTCAACGTTGAAGCAAATTGGTAGGCGCCGGCGGGGGGCAGAAAGTGAGAGGAGGAGGCAGGGCAACCGTTCGATTCTGCTTGTCGATTGCCCATGGCCTGTTTCGCCGGAGGCAAGGGATATTGCTAGGAATGAATCAGACTCCGCAGATTTCCTGTTTCACATTCAGGGTTCACGTCGGCTGGAGCGGAGACCATAGAAGCAGAGCTTGACCATTCCAAAACTCTCATTGGATAATATAATTGTAAATCGATAGTGTTTGTGATCTTATAATGGTATCTATGAAAATTATTAGAGCCCCTTTTGAATAATTATGGTACAGTTATGTTATAAGAAGATACAGTGAAAACATTTAATGAATTTTGTTTTTATATTTTGAAGAGTATTTTCATGGGTTTCTCTTTTCTACTTGTAAAATGCCTGTGAAGAAAATCATCGCACTCACTGTCCAACCAATTACACAATTTGAAAGAATAAATAGATTCATTTTTGGGCTGATTCATCCTTCCCAACTTATCATAACTTATTTTAATCATGATATTGCATAAAGCACATGGATGTTAAGTCCGTTAATAAAGTCTCAAAGATCTACACGAAGACAAAGTGGAATATATTTTTTGAAGAAAATTTATAAAATCAAATTAAAAAAATACTAACTTTGACAAGAAAATTGAAACCAATATAATTAGATATTCACGGTTACCCGAAGTTTCTAATTAAAATAATTTTACATATGATGTGTTAATGACATCAAACACTAACAGTTGATGAATAGATTTGCTTTCCTAATCCCTATTCTTTTCCAAACATAGGGAGAACTAATGGGAAGACGAGATAAATTCAAGGCAATCTAGGAAGGAGGTCGAGGAGAGGCCATATTTAATGTAGGAATGATTGAGGATATTAGGGGTTTGGACTTTTAATTGGGGTCTCAAATCCAATTTGGAGACTTAAAACTCTCCAAGGAGGAAGAATTTCATATTACCAAGAAAAAGGAAAAGGAATACATTGTTGTCTTTCCACCATTATTATCATCAAGATGTTTGGCATCAATTTGTGCTTCTTCTGCGTAGCTTGCCTCTTCTTCCCTTTCTTTGGATTTGCCTACTCCAATTTCATTTCCAGTAAGAACCTTCCTCCCTCCCTTCTCCTTTTGAACATTTTCTGGCCATTTCTCTCAATATTTGTTTTTACAACTGTAGATGGTGCGCTTGATGCTGATCATCGATCCGCTGGAGGCCCTAATCGTGTCCTGCTTCAATTGAAAAAAGGTAACCAATGTTTCTCTCCTAGATTTAGTAATTTTTTTTATATTTTAGATCGTAAAAGACACGAATTTTAAAAATGGTCCAGCTTGCAATGTGAGCTTTCAAGATATGGACTACACGATCTTGACGACGCAATGCAAAGGGCCATTGTACCCGAAAAATCAATGTTGTGATGCGTTGAAGCAATTTGCTTGCCCTTATACCAACGAGATCAACGATGCCAGCACGAACTGCGCAGAGACCATGTTCAGTTACATCAATCTCTATGGCAAGTACCCTGCCGGCCTCTTCGCCAACACTTGCAAGGAAGGAAAAGTCGGTCTCGATTGTGCCGCCGGCCCCAAGAAGAATGGAGTTACCTCCAATAACGTCCATCTCTTCCTCTTGCCCCTGGTGGTTGGAATGTTCACCATTGCAGCAATTATTTGATCCTCTTATAACTTAAAGTTGTTTTGAAGCCAAAATTTCAAAGTAAAAAAGATTTGGGTATGTAATGAGTCAACGTGAATGATCTTGGTAAAAGAAACAAAATGTTTTGGATGGGAACTAATGAAAAACACGCTCAAGGCTATGGACGACGATTGATCCTTCCTTACATTGCAGGTTTTATGATTTATACAATGAATATCTTACCAGGTAGTTTAATAGCATGTTTGGTTTAGTTTCATAATCTCTAGTCTATAGGCTCCAATATGTTCAATCACTATATTAGACATTTTAAGTTGAAGGAAAAGATTGTAGAGCCATATACATACGAATTTGGTGGAATACAGTTTTCCATCTTTGGAACATTGCCTCCCAAAAATATGTTATAGTTCAATTGATTAAGTGTTTGCACTCGCTAGAGTGAAACTCCAAGTTTGAATCCACCCCTCACATACTAGTTCTCTAGGAGGCACCCTTTGAATCATGAAAAATCATCCTTGTAGTGGCTTTGCGTAAGTCAGTTTAGTAATTAGTTGTCCGGCTCCAAGCCTGTGTGTGAAATTGTCCTTGTAGGCTTCGTGTAATTCAATCTACGACACTTTTGTACTTAGATTTAAATGAATAAAGTAAATTAGCTAGCACGTACTTAACAACAAGAAATATATATATTACAATTTTCCAGAATCACAAGTTTATAGATAGTGGTTTATCAAAGTCCAAAATTCGTAAAAGAATATTTGAATATTGTATAAGAGAACAATAAGGATGATTCAGAAAATGGTGAATTAGGAGTGACGATTGAGGACTCAAAACTTTGTTGGGATCTTTCCCTTTCTGCACATGACACCAAACAAGGACAACGAGTCTTTATTATTATTGATATTACTTGTCATTATCAAAAATGAAATTGCAGGAAAGGATTCCCAAATCAAATGAAGATCAAAAGAAGAAGACTATTACCAACAAAGCAGTATAAATAGAAGAAAGCAACAAGACAAGCTCGTGAAATGTGGCAGAGCAATAGTACACAAAACAAAAGCAATTACTATGTGATTAGCGATAAGTGTGAGAAGTGATATATGTTCCATTCTCTGTATTTTTTAGTCTTGGGAGCTTGTGTAGGTTCTCTCTTTAACTTGAGTTTGTGATCTTGAGGACTTAACCTCTCAAGCTATTAGAGCTCTACTATCAAAAGGGAAAGATAACTTCTCCAAAAAAATTATATCAATATTTACAAACCTAACATCATGTGATTAGCCTAAATTTTTTTTAACTAGAAGGGTATGAAATTTATGCTTTCTTATCATCTGCTTAAAAGCAGTAGACCTTGTGCAGAAATCAATCATGACCCTTTTCATAGACATCAAACAAGATATGACTCGGAGATTACGACTGAGGGGGAGAACAATGCAGATTCTTACCATGTTGTAAACTGGATAAGTAATGACTCATACTCAGATAAGGAGGTCCACCATGATTTTCTCAACTAGAATCGGATCCCTTTTTAATTACTCTTCAAGCTCGAGAAGAATATTGTCAAGCAATGTAGTCTAAAAGGAAGAAAGCAATAAGACAAACTCACGTAATTTGAAGAAAAATCGTACACAAGCAAGAGCAATAAATATGTGATTAGCGATAGGTGTGAGGACTGATAGATGTTCAATATCTATATTGTTCGAGTGATGTGAGCTTGTGTATATTCTCTCTTTAGCGTGAGCTTGTGAGGAAGAGAGAAGGTTGCATTGACAACTCTCATCACTTTCCCCTTCCCGAGAGAAACTATGAAGGCCGAGTCACGAGTGTGGAGGAGCAAGATAATCCTTTCTAAGATCTTGCATGACATCTTGCCCTCCAAACCTGCTTGAAGACATGAATGGGAAGGTGAGAGAAGAGATTAGAGAGGAGGAAGTTAGCTTTGAAGGGGAGGAAGATCTTGATTGTTCCCAATGGGAGGAACTAATTGAAGAAGATGGAAGGGAGGTTGATTTTTAAGTAGAAGCAAAAGTAGAAGGAGCAATTGAGGTCCAAGATGAGGACGAGGTCAAGGTGGATGAAGCATCCACAAGTTATAAGAGCTATCAAATCTTTCCACAGGACCTTGATGCATTACTTTGTGTGGGGCAAAGAGAAAAAAGAAGAAGGAAAGAAGGAGAGGTCTCGTGAGAAGAGACACCACCACGCCGACGAGAACCTCAACTTCAAGGAGGTTCTTGGGTGGACCGAAACTTGAAGAGAAAAAATACGGCTCACGACGTTAAAGAAACGCTTGGTGGGAGGCTACCCATTCCATTGGTCTGTTTTCATTCACTTCAATAAGACAATTATTGGAGAGATTTTGGTGGTGTTTTTTTGTCTCTTTGCTCTTCTAAATCTTGCCAGCTCTCCGCTCCTGATCACCAACATTCACACCTTATCAGGTAACATCGTTCAACCTCCTTATTTTACGCTATTGAGGGCAATGTCGAGTTTAAGTGTTGGGGGTAGTCCATTATGCTCGTGTGTGAATGATTGGTATTAATTTGAGTGCTTGGAGCCTTGTTGTATGCCCAAAATTTTTAAAATTTGAGGGCTCCAAGCTTAGCAACTTCTACATTTGCATGATCATAGGGGAACTGACACGCTACAACACAACATCAAACTGCGACCAAGTGTAATTGCAGAAAGGGATTGCAGTATAGTGGTGCAAGTAATAAATATCGAATCCACGGGTCTCTAGAGTTACTATTACTTAGATTCAGTTCATTATCTAGAAAACTAGATTAAGAAAGAGGAACTATAACTACTCTAGCAAACTACGATTAAAGTTAATCTAATTACAGGTTGGGAACTCACTTAGGTATGATTCCCCCTAGCCATTAGCCAGATTAATGATTGATGATCTTTAACATGTTTCACTTTCATTCACAATGCGAAGAATCCTTGACTAGACCTTGAATCTTTACTAAAGGATCAATGCCCTCTTGAGTCAATTGCCTAGAGGGACGTATCCTTCTCTAGAACAACCGGTCAAGGCGTTCTGAACTAGATTCCATCTATCGAATGAGATTCTCAATCGATACAAAGCAGTGAAACGACCCTCAACTAAAGCAATCGATCCAATATTATCAATCTATGGTGCTCTATTGACCTAATCAGGTATTTGCTCTCATAGGATCAAAGCAGAATCAATAATCTTCACTAAAGCAGAATTGAATCATGAAAACATGCATAGATTGAATTTGAAATCAAGAATATCAAGTAAGAGTACTCATACAATCATCCAATCAAACAAACATGGCTAGGGTTCCTCAAAATCTAAGTGAAGGGAAGTTACTCCACAGAGAAGAGAGAGAATGCAATAATTTGATCTAGATCTTCAAATCTTCATCTTCAAGCTTGATTCTCCAGCTCCAATGGTGAAGAAATCCTACAAAATATCTCCAAGAATGATCCCAAGTTGCTCTCTCTCTAGTGTTCGTCCCTTGGGTGTTTGGGATCCAAAATGCAGCTCTCCTTCTCTCTAAAATTCAAAATTAGGTTAAAATGCAGCTGCGAGCGATTACATGGTCAGGCCGCATAGCCGTGCAACCAAAACACAGCTTTTGAATTAGTTCCGCAAGGGGAGTGCACGGCCATTGCACGACCCGTGAAATCCGAGAGCCTGGCCGTGCAGCTTCTCACAGAATTCTTCACTGCCAGAAAATAAGTCGTGCACGGCCGTGCATCTTCGCTTGCATGGCCACCATGCACGGCCTTGCATCTACTCGGACTGGCCGTGTAACTCGTCTGCTCTCCATCTCTCATCCCGTCTTTGCCCAATCGACCCCGAACTCGTGCTCAAACCTTCATTCACGCATTAGGACCTGAAATGTCATAAACAATAACAACCTAGCGTAAAATCGGCTTAAAGCCCGAGATCCGAGACTCAAACAATATAAGAATGGTGGACAAAACATGTGTAAATATCGAGTAATCAAATCTCCCCACACTTAACCGTTTGCTTGTCCCGAAACAAACCAAGTTAGACACAAGTCCAACTGACAAAAGTTTTCAGTCAAAACAGTTTTAGGGACACGACTCATGGCACAAAACATAGTGATCTCCACAGATGACTAGCACCGACACATGAACAACAGCAATAACAACCTCAATGACTACTCAGATGACACCCAGCTGCAGCAAAACCATGCAAAGGAAAAATCTAACTAATGTTCATAGACCAAAACGTGACAAGCCCCGTCTACCCATGCATCCCAGTCAACCATGAATAACGTTCAAACAACCAGAATCAAAGGCAGAGTAATCAAGGCCCTCATCGGGGTATATTATAAGGAAAAGAATCGATCACTCTCGACCAGTGTGGTCAGGACATTGTGGTGCAAAAAATGTGCACATTCATTCTCTCAATCCTACTGTCTCTTCGCCAAGATTGCAGCCTCTAAGGGTTAGAGTTCACACAGATGATATTACCACTAACTTGTCAGGAGGACTTGACCGGGTTCAGATGCACTGGTTAGGGTCTAGGACATGGGGAATATGATTTTTTGGTGGTGGTTATTTCAAGCGCAGGGTCCACAGTTCCAAGCCAAAACAACACAATCAAAACATCAATCAAATAGGTTGCACATCTTTGCTATCACTGCATTAGTCAATTTCCAAACATAAGAATGTAGGAGGTAAAAATTATGAGAGTGTTCAAAGCCAATATGCTAAGATGCACTAATTAATGAGCATTTTTCATTCCTTCTGTGGCGGCTCTCTTCTTTTATTTTTCTTTCATTTTCTAGAGCCACAAACTTTCCACCATTTTTGAATACATGCATATGCTCAATCCTTTCAGAACATCTTCCTACATTCATTTTAAAAAACAACATAGATATCAAGCACAAATCACTCTGTGGAACCTCTACAAAGTCAACAAAGGGTTCTATACTAAAGACAAAGAAGACAGTCACACGACTCAAAGGGGCTGACTAGGGGATATGACAAACCAAGACATACAACTTGGTCGTGGGCTATTCCTATGCCTCCATCTTCCTCATTAGTGGTAACATTATGCTACAAATTATGGTAAGGGGGATCCAATTAAACAGAAAGAAACGAACGACTCAAATCTCACAAGGCTTCCTACATGCTCTATCTCTACTTCTGGTTTCCTGAACTAGATGCATAGAAGATAGAGGATGGTGGGTCGGCGATTCATGTCACAAGTTGGGTTATAAACAAAAGTCATACGGAACCCCTACACACTTTTACTGTAGTTCTTAGTCATCATCATAGTCATCTCGGTCACAAACAAACCATTCATGCAACAAATACTAACCACAATCAGAGATCACAAGACAAACAGGTGCCAATGTGCCGATGCAAGAGAAAACACTACTTGGAGCCCTCAAATTTATAATTTGGACAATGGACTAGGCTCCAAGCACACCCAAACAACCAACCATTCACACGCAAACATAATGGAACATCACCCCAACACTTAAGCACGACATTGTCCTCAATGGAGGATAGATACGGAGGGTATAACGAAGTTACCAGATCAAGTGTGAATGATGGTGAATGGGGAAGGCGATGCATTCCATGGGAGAAAGTAGAGTAAGAGCAGTTGGAACACAAACACCACACAAAATCTCACAAAGATTGACTTATTGACTCTAAATCAAAAGACGAACTGACTCAACCAAAGAGAAATAGGGAAAGAAAGTGCAAACCGACTAGTTCGGTTGCCTCCCAACAAGCGCTTCTTTCACGTCGTGAGCCAGACGGTGACTCTTAAGTTTTGGTCTATGCTAGAACCTCCTTGAAGTTGAGGTTCTCGTCGACGAGGTGGAGTCTCAAGTCATGAACATGTGGTATGAAAGGTGATGTAGGCTTGTGTACTTGATGAATATGAAGTCTCCACCTGCGAGACCTCTTCTTTTCTTCCTCTCTCGTCTCATTGCCCCGAACGAGATATGACATCATCGACTGACCACCATCACATCCACTAAGAGGGACCGATGTCAATGTGGCCTTGGTCTGGCAATGAGACACTGCAAATGGGTCCTTTCCAAGCACTTCTCGAAGTTTGGTAGAGATATCACCTGTAACTCATGGCCGGTGCAAGCCTCTTCCACCTTAACTCTGTCCTCCGCCTAGACTCTTATTGCATCTTCAACTCCCCTTCCATCCTCATTATTTGATTCCTCCCCTTATAAAATATCAAGAACTTCCTGTAATTCACCTCCTTCATTCTCCACAACTTCTTTCCTCATCCGTTCTTGCTCTTCTTCTTCTAGCACGGATAGGAGAGCAAGTCGCCATGCAATCTTTTCAATAAGATCAACTTGCATCTCCTCACTCATGCCTGCCTCCTCAACGCTTGGTGTGGGATGCGGAAAGGTATGGTTAGCTACAACAGGACATTTCTGATCATGATCATCACGGGAGCTCTTCGTGACAAACTCTATATGCTCCACGATGTCCTCGTAGCCTTCGTCTTCCTCCTCCTCTTCTAGTATGGTAGCAGAAGGGTGATCTTGAACAAGTTGTGCACAAACTTGATGAACCCGCTCTGTTTGCTTTGCTGAGTGTGAAACAGTCTCCTCCGATTCACGAAGGGATGAAGAGTTAGGAGGAGCAACAGATTGGAAAAAGAGGTCCATCTTGCGATTGTGTCTCTCGGTGTTCCGAGCAAACTACTCTATGTGAAGTCCTAGTTGACTCAATTGACTGTTCAAATCTGGCCTTGGAGTGTAGCATAGCTCTGTAAAATGGCCGGTGAAGGCCGCCATGGCTAACTCCAGCTCCGATGGCCCTTCTGGTTGTGGGAGGAATTCTTCTTGATAAGGATATTGTTCTTCAAATTTCCAAGGGTCTAGTTGTTCTCCGTAGAAAAGGAGTTGGTACTGGAACCCGAATCCATAGTCTTCTCCTCCTTGATTACACCAGGAAGTCTCACGAAATACCACTCTGATGGTGTTGGATACCCCCAATGGTTGGAGAAGCCATGATGATCCATGATTCAGATCTACATCAACAAAAACAAAAACAAAAACACCCAAGTAAAAAACAAGGATGGAAATGAAAATAAAAACACTAAATTCACAAACTTCTGCTTTTCCTAATAATCTAGATAGTGCCCGGCAACGGCGCCAAAAACTTGACACGCTACGACACAACACCAAACTGCCACGGTCTATAGAGTTACTATTACTCAACTTCAGTTCATTATCTAGCATACCAGATTAAGAAAGAAGAACTATAACCACTCTAGCAAACTACAGTTAAAGTTAATCTAATTACATGTTGGGAACTCACTTAGATATTATTCCCCCTAGTCACTAGCCAGATTAATGATTGATGATCTTTAACCTGTTTCAATTTCATTCAAACTGCGGAGAATCCTTGACTAGACCTTGAATCTTGACTAATGGATCAAGGCCCTCTTAAGTCAGTTTCCTAGAGGGACATATCCTTCTCTAGAACAATCGATCAAGGCGTTCTGAACTAAACTCCCTCTATCGAATGAGATTCTCAATCGATACAAAGCATTGAATGGACCCTCGACTAAAGAAGTCGATCCAATACTATCAATCTATGGTGCTCTATTGACCTAATAAGGTATTTGCTCTCATTGGATCAAACCAGAATCAATAATCTCGACTAAAGTAGAATTGAATCATGAAAACATGCATAAATTGATTGATTGAATATGAACTCAAGATAATCAAGTAAGAGTACTCATACAATCATCCAATCAAACAAACATGGTTAGGGTTCCTCAACATCCTTGGTTGCCCGTGCAACCAAAATGCAGCGTTTAAATTAGTTCCGTGAGGGGAGTGCACGGCCATTGCACAGTCCGTGCAGCTTCTTGCAGAATTCATCATAGTCAGAAAATAAGTCGTGCACGGCCGTGCAAACCCTTTCCACTCATCTTCGCTTGCACGTCCACCATGCACGGCCGTGCGTCTTCCCGGACTGCCTGTGCAACTCATCTACTATCCATCGCTCGTCCCGTCTTCGCCCAATTGACCTCGAACTCGTGCTCAAACCTTAATTCATGCATTAGGACCTGAAATGTCATAAACAAGAACAACCTAGCATAAAATTGGCTTAAAGTCCGAGATCCGAGCCTCAAACAATATAAGAATGGTGGACAAAAACATGTGTAAATATCGAGTCATCAGGAACCTTTGGTGATTTTCTTCGAATCTCTTAGTTATTATCATTTTTGATGGATGATTTTCTTATGATTATGTGCAACCTATTATGATGATTGAGACTTTTATTCGGTTGGTGCATAGGTTTAGTTCTCATGTGTTTGTGAACCGATAGGATTTTTGAATCGATTACTTGCTTTTTAAAGTTGCATATTCATCGAGTTTAAGGAGTTAGAATGAATGATTGAGAACCTAGGTAGCCATGTGAGACTTGTGCCGTTCATTTCGTTCTTGTGAGATAGATCCCCTTTACATGATGCGTAGAATTCACATTGTTGCTAGCGAGGAAGATTGAGGCATTGGATTAGCCCACGACCCAAAAGTTGACCAACCCTATCATATTATCCCTTAGTCAACCCTTTTGAACAGTGTGTCTAAAGTTCGTTCTCGTGTTACGTAGCTCATGCTACTTGAGCTTGATTGATTTAGATAGAGCGACCCTACTTTTTTCATGTCTACACCGTTATCGAGTCACCCTTGTGTTTGGAAGCTCCATTCATACCATTTGAGCTTAAATGAGGTTCCACATGAGTGATTTGTGTATGGTTTTGCTAAGAATGTGAAGTGAATGAGGAGGTAGTTCTTAAAAGTGATCATTGTTCCTTAAGCTAAAAATGTGGCATATTTTTAGCTCCTACTAGCTCTCATAGAAAAGAGAAGGAAAGAAGAAGAAAAAAAGAGAAAGCAATAAAAAGGGCATAGAAGAAAAGAGAGTGCCAACTAAAAATATAATAAATGTGGGATATTCTCTTAGAAGTGTTTCTTAGCATGCAAGCGATAGGAACACTTACATGATTAATTAATTGTATGAAAGTTGCAAAGTGCGTCAATTTTCGTTATACAATTGTGAAGTGGGTTAAGACGTTTTAGAGATTCGAACAGAAACAGAGAAGAGAAGGAAGACTGTGGACTTGAGAAAAGGAAAAGGGAAGAAAAAGAAAATAGACTTCTTCTGTCCGTTTCTCAACCAACCGTAGCAAAAGAAAATGGGCCAGCTAACTATTAGGCCCAAGAGGATTAAAATAAGGCCAATACTACAGTGACGCCATTGAAAGTGCGGCACCGGTGCCGCTTTGTTTAATTGGACCACGTAGCTGCTTGCGTAGCTGGTTGGTCCTTTCTCAAAAGCTAATCCAAATCGGTCGCCCAACCCAAACCCGCCTAGCTAGCTGACCAGGAATATAATTATGTCTTTTAATTCTCGCCCCCATCCTCTCCGTTGGAGCAACCAAAAGTTTCGGCGAACATCTCAAACGCCGATCAAATCTCATTTACAGACTCTTATCACTCTACTGGTCGGCTCTGCCCCCATTGGGTCCACACAATCCTTTGCATCGCCCCCTCGCTCTGCACCCTACCTATTCAAGCGTCGAAATCCGAATCCGAGGTTCGTCGATTGGAGATGCATAGCGACGTTGGGTGTTTCTGTGATCTGCAATTAGACAAACCTTATACATCTATTCGATAGGACAAAAGAATTCGTATTAATTTATGTTAGCTACTTGATACTTCAATTATATATAGAATTAGGCTTCTAGTTTTGTAGTTCCTTCATCCTTATTGCGAAACTTTTGTGTTTTTCTGTCTCGTGAAATTGCCTCAGGTGGCCATAGTCGCCTTTTTTGTGGAACAACAACCAACCGTGAACTTGATAGCACACAAACGTCACGTGATAATGTAAGACTGCAATAGTTGCTCTTGTGGTACCCTCCCCTGAATCACTCTGAACCATTTTCTACAAGTGTTGTTGCTGCTGCTATGATGAAATCAGTTGCCATTTGAAAGGCTCGCGGTTGCAGGAAGGAACTTTCAATACCTTCTAAAGCTTATTGATTGATGAGACGATACAATACTTTGACGAGTTAATAAGCTTCCTCTAGTGTTTGAAGAGCAGTAATACTGCAACATAGTTCTACGGATGAATTCAGTTGTATTTGGCCTGATGGGTTTATAATTGGGTTTCTTGGTATATATGCTTGAGACATGTTTTGAGATCTCTGTTAGTTTATAGTTTAGCTTAGAGGTCTATCCAGCCTTTTTTAGTTCCTTGCTCTCACCTGTATCGGTTTGCAGATTGGTTTTTCTTTTCATTTTCTTTGTAATTCTGTGTTTTGCTTAATTAATCTACATCACCACTATATATATAAAAGAATGCACATAATCATTGGAACGAAGGAATGCTCAACTCTCAACATCAGGAAAATGTTCTCGGAGATGAATGAACAACTATTCCTGTCGTGCCAGTTCAAGGATGAAGATTGAAGAAGAACATCTCAGTTTTGCAGCCGAGAAGAGGAAAGTAGCGTGGCGATCATACCAAGATCACTTGTTACCAGTATTAGGCATTTGTGGGTGACATCCTAAGTGCTGGTGTTTGATATAATTTTTGTTAGTGCAATGGCAGTCAAATGTTGTATAACTAAGTAGAGTAGCTCCTGCTCTCGCGTATCTTTAGCTTGGGCTCCCCATTTTGTGGTAATTCGATGATGTATGGGATCTCGTTTGGTTTTCCCTTTTGTAAGCTTATGATAAAGGGAAAGAAAAGGAGTCATACAATAGTTTATTAGCTTCATTTCTACCTTGTGCAGTTGTATTGTCAATAGGGAATCCCACTTGACCTTTTGAACAATCTTCTTCTAATTAACATTGAAGGGGGGTATTCATACGCTCAATGGAACTGTCAGGTTCATCGGTGACAATTGCAGCATTTCTGTATTCATCCTTCCAATCAATGCCACCTTGAGTCATTTTTTGGATAAAGAACAAGCTAAAGAACGAACTAATTATATACAAGCTCGCAACTCAAGAAAGTCCTACTCATCCCTGGTCATAGCAGTTTGCAACTAATTACAATGAACACCAGAGTTTGGCACTTCGGCTCAACAAAAGTACAAAAGGCCCGAGATCTCTCCTCTTCTACAATATCCCCACCTCCTCCCTCACCTAAAAAACTCTTAACCCGTGGAGCAAAGATCTTTTCGTACTTTTTGAAACCATAGATAGGATAGAGGACAGCCCACATATGATAATAATAATTTAGCAAAGCAAGATGATCCAATCAAGCTGAAACTGTATAAGCAAACTTCCAAACAGTACAGAGTAGAAATTGTGCCGAAAGAGTGATAGTCCATTCAAAGCCAAGGCCTTGTAGGCTTGTACCAATGAGCGAGACCACTGTGCCTGCCGCCGACCACCGAACACTGTGCCTGCCGGAGTTCAAAACCCTGTTCACCCGAGACCTCATGTTGTCGCCAGCCTGGGCAGCCTGATCCCATCGAGCGTCCTCTTCCACCGCCGACGATCACACCGCCCAGGTACCCGTGCCGGTGTACTAAAATGAGATTCTCGCTCCAAGTCGAGCGCTAGCGTGCGGCTTCTTCCTGGAAGAGGAACTCCGGGGAGTTGGGGAGATTGTAGAGGGTATGAGAAGGGACGCTGATGAGAAAAATAACAAATAAAAAACGCAGAAGACGGACGCTGTTTGGGTAGCTGCGGTTTGGTCCAAGTTTTATGGGCCACCGGGTTTGAAGTTGGATTCAATCAAACCTAACTTGTGCCACCTCATAGTCCACGTGGACCAATCATAGTTAGCGGCACTGGTGCCGCACTTTTTTTAGCGGCACTATAGTATTGGCCTTAAAATAAAAGAAAGCAATCTTAGAATGAAAGCTGAGAGACAAAAGATGGGCTTTAAGCCCAGTCGTCTTTCTTCCTCAGAGGGAAAGAACATATTCAACTCGGTTGCAGGAAAAATAGAGGAAATAAACAGAGCAAGAACACAACAAAAATAAATTACAGAAATCTAAATAATGTGTGTTTTTAACGTGGTTCGCGCCCCAAATGCAATGGTTTACTTCCACGTCTCAGAATACAGTCTTGGAGACCCTTTGTTTAGATTTTCTGTTTTGACACGAAGAACAAAACTATAGACGAAAAGAAGAGCAAAAACAAAACACCCGAATCCCAGATTCGTAATCCCCAGCTTAAAGAACCTCTACCTTTCCTAAAGCTGAACTCTTTCGTAGCCTAGACCTATACCACCCCGCTTACGGAAGTTGCATTCTCAACGCAGTTTAGGACTATATATAGATTTATTGAGACAAAGCCGTTGCATCAGGAAAGGAAAGGATCGTTCTTGATGGCATAGATTGATGATGCTTTACATGTCTGCTCCTTGAAGTTAGCAGTGGGTCTTCTTCAATTTGAATCTGAAATTTCTGACTTTAATTCTTCGAACAACAATTGATTGATAGAGTAATAAAATTTTAATGCACATACTACATAGATTCACATGAGACAAAGCGGGAAGTGTTTAAATTGATACACTTTTACAAATTTGCTAGTAACTTATTATAAATGTTACTAAACTTGCTTAATTAATGCTAGTAGGAGAATTTTGCGGGTTAAGCCACAACCCAACCGCACCCATCCGCCACCCACCTAACCCAACCTGTAGAAGAATGTGGGTGGATAGCGGGTCACGATTATTCAAACTTGCTAGTAAGAGGATGAGTCAATTTGAGACCAAAATTCACCAAACCTGCCCATTGCCCACCTCTAACTATTGCCATTTGAATACTATAATAACTTTGTATGAAGAATTTGATAGTAAATTAGTAATACAAACAAAAATAATGTAAAACACAATTTATTTACGTAATTTAACTTTGCAATGTGTAATAAATGGTACTCCACGACAAGGGTAAAATATCTTGGTTACCACTTAAGTTTGAATTGGATAGACATAGCACTTAATTTGAATAGAGCGTCAGGTACCATTAAACTCGTCTAAATGTGCATTCGTGTAGTTTTCCATCCAACCCAAAATTTTAATTACCTTTTAGTACCCAAAATTATATTTCAACAAGTATTATCTAATATAAAAATTAAAAAACGTCCTAAACATAGTATTACTAGAATGACTGATAAATCTTTTTCAATAAAATAGATAACTCAGTAAAAAAATAAACAAATATAAAGAAAAAATAATAAATATACTGGAAGATAATAATAAATATTTAAAATTAATATTAGAAGATCTATTTAAATCTCTAATACAATTAGAAGCCCCACTAAAAATGGTTAAAATAGAACCTAATCGAACATCAATACACCAAGACCAAAGAAGAATAAATTGAACACTGAGAAAAAATTAATCATATTCCAGTAATTGAAAAATACTAATAATCATAATAAAGAATTGATTATAATTTTTTTATTAAAAATGGTTTGGTATAAGAGTATAATTTCTATTCCAACTAAAGAGAATTCATAGGATATATTTGTTTCAGTGAATAAATAAATTAATAGAACCCATAATGATAATAAAAAATTGATTCTAAATTTCCTATTCGGAAATTGGTTTGGTATCAGAGTTTTCAAAAAAGGATTCCAACTAAACAATAATAAAATTTTGTTTTTCATAAGTCCAAATGATTTTTTACAATAAGAAAATAGAAAAACTAATTATGAAAATTTAGAAAACTGAATATTCCAAGAATATTCTTTCAACTTTAACGGAATGCATTTAATAGTTAACTTAAGTGGTACCGGGTGCACATATAATAGAGTTCAGTGGTACGCGATGCCCTATTCTTATTTTAGTGGTATAGGTCCCCCAATTCTCATACTTTACTGGTATTTGAAATATTTTACCCTCCACGGCAGGAAGCTTTGATTTTTATTAATACCTTTTTTTATGATTAATTGGAGGCAAAATTGACAAGGTTACAACAGCTTAATGTTGCAACTCAAAGCCCAGCAGAACAAAACCAAAACAAAACCAACACAACAAGCACTTAGGACCTCAGAGCAATCAGAACTTGTATAGAGAAGCTGACCCCTACGACGATATCTCAACATATTCTGTCTAGTTCGAGCGACGGATCTTCAATTTCATACGTACCAAAGGAATAGACGAGAATGTAATTCGAGAGCTAGTCTGCGAAAATCTTTGTTGCCTACACTACAAACATTCAATGTAAGGATGTTAAAATTAAATTGACTAGACATAGATAAGTAAATCGGGAGAAAGAAAAGGAAAGGAGCCGAGCATGGAGCTCTAGAGGTCAGAGTTGGTTGCTTTGGAGATCGTTGGCTCCATCGGTGCTGGCGATAGCATTCTTGGTTGCCACATGTTCTCCTGAAGTCCTCTGCGTTCCTCTATTCATGCGACGAGTTATTTGGGATTCTAGATCGGGAGAGAGCCAGGAAATCTTCAATGGCTTTGATAGTAACTGGGAACTTGAACCTGTTTCTTGACTCCTTTAATCTTGAATCCCCTGCTCTTCTCTTCCCTTAGAGATTTTCTTTTGCTTCTTTCGATAATGTTGCCGGATTGAGGAGGGATTCAAATTTGGGTCCTAATTTTCCTTTTGGTTTAAGACTAGTGGCGGCACTAAAACAACATAGATTTTGGTATTTTTCGGGTTATGGATCCTTGGTACCAAAATTAGAGGCTCCTTCAAAATTCCCCTAGTCTTTGTCCCCCTTGTTTTGGGCTTTGGTTTCTTTTTTCTGGCCCACATGTCTCAATTCCAGAGCTAACGTTTCCTTTTTATTCCAGTTGGTGGCTTGATCTTCTTGAATCGTTGCCTTCCCTTTTTGGAGATTTAAATTTCCTTTTTTTGTCCCTGAAGACCCATTCCCTTTCTTTTTATGCTTTGTTTTACCGTTGGCTTCCCCTGTCATGGCGACACCATCTCTTTCATTCTTTCCTTTTACGGTTGAGGCCTTTCTCATAGGGGTGGCAGTTCGGTTACCGGTTATCCACTAACCGGTAACCTAAGTAACCGAACTTCGGTCGGTTATCGGAGGCTGGACAAAATGGTATTTAGTCTTATAAGTGGTTCGGTTAACCGATAACCGAGAAACCAAAGTCTATTTCGGGTGGTTTTCGGTAGGACGAGGGGTTATTTCGGTTAACCGATAACCGGCCAATCAGTTATCGGTTATAACCGAAATAACCAAACTGCCACCCCTACTTTCTCATATCGAATCCATTATGATTCGAGTTTCCCTAATTGTTGCGTTGATTTTGGGAAGGTTTGTGTTGTTTCGACGTGATTTCCTTGTAACTTGCATCCACGGGCCATAGTCTTCCTGCGCCTTTGTCGGAACGTCAGCCATCGTGAATTCGTGATCACCTAATTCGAGATGTTTGCTGATGGGTTTTCATGAGATTGAGCCTGAATGATTTTCAGGCACTTTATTCCATATGGCTGATCCGACCACACTCGTAGCAAATGGCAGGGATGTTTTGATAAACTTGTCGCTGGAATCCTCGAGGTAGATTCGGGTGGCCATTGGTTTTGTCATGTCCAATTCAATCGCTATTCTTGCTAGTTTTCCTCTTTCGAGATTCTCTGTATGGTAATCCAGTCTGACCGTTCATCCCAACAAGTTGTCAAGTGACTCGTTCCAACTACAACATCTCAATCGACGGCCAAGTATAACCGCCGACCGGGTGTAGCATAGAGCAAGCAAGCAATTTTAATTTTTTGTACCATGAGGATCTAGGCTTACCTTACTTCAGTTTAGAGTTCGTTTTCTAGCCAACCTAGGATAGTGATGAATAAATCTAAACTAACCAACCTAAACTAACCACTAACCTAGCTATTTACAAGGTTTGGATCTCTCTTGGATTGAATCATCCTAGGTCCGTCCTTTAGATCGATGTTGGGTATCCTCCTAGCTCGATGGACTCAAATACTCTACCATTAAGAAATGGACTCCCTCGGGAATGACTCGGAACGGCGAATCGATGAATGGGATATGCTCTATTCAACCTAGGGCAACCCTATATTGTAGGAGATTGATGGAATCGACTCCCTCGTGGATCACCCAGACGATATAGGATGAGGAGTGACCCAAATACACCAATAATGAGTTCTAAGGGAATTTTCTCCCTTTTAGGTCAAAAGCTCAAAACATTAAAATGGAAACCCAACTCATGCCATTCATTAAAACATACATCAATTAAGTAAAATCATCAATCACACATGGAATTTGTCACATACATCAACAATGAAACAAAATCTAGACCTAGGGTTCTTAACCCAAGAGAAGAGGGTGAGTTTCTAGAGAGAGAAGAGAGATTCTACAAATTGGAGCCCAAGATCTTCTTCTTTTTCTAGGCTTGAATCATTGTCTTCAAGATCAACCTAAGCCTCCAATAAAGATCCAAGATCACTCAAGCATCCTCTCTCCCTCACTAGAACTCCCCTTTGGGGTTTTGGGTCGAAGCACTAGAGAGAGAATCAAATTCTCTTCCAAAAACCAGCTCTCCCTTTTCTTCCTTCTGCTACTGCCTTTTATGCCCAAACCGACGTCATTTCACGGTCCCAGTTCACGGTCGTGAACTCAAAGCCTGGGCTGTGATCTCTGCCACAAGTTCACGATTTCATTACAGCTCTTCACGGTCTTGAAATGAAGTTCACGATCCCGTGACCGTGAACTGACAAGACTCCAGTGAGAC